GCCATTTTTATTGGCTAAGATATCAACAGAGTGTGCATAACACAGTGAATAACTTTATCATCTGAAGTATTGAATATGGGGGCGGATATCCTCTACTTCCGATAAGTGTGCTTATGGTCTGGCACCATCCTAGGCTTAAGTTGCTGGACTATAAGCGTAAAAGCACTTATCGGACAGTAGTGTGTAATTGCGTGGAAGCCATCATTAGTAATCCTGAAGGACAGGGCAGGGAGAGTCGGCACCAGTGAGGCTCTAAGGTGGCAGCGGCTGACCTGACCGCCCCAAGTGACCGAGGCTGACAAAAGCCAGATGATGAAGCCGCACCCATGTCAGGCACCGAAAACAAGGGGCGGTGGTGAAACACCTCCGTCCAGCCAAGCGGTAAGCCTGACCTCTTACAAACGTAACTCATCCGCCCGGCTTCACGCAGTGATGGTGAGGGTGAGGATGGGGACAGTTGACTTTACAATTTTTATAATTTCGTACCTTATTATAAGTACGTATTTTTATTTAGTATTAAAGATAGTATTCCATGCTATTTTATGTTCATAGTTAATTTCTGCATTATTCGATAAGTTTTTTATATAATTTTTTATAAATTCATCTGTATTGTCCAGTAATCTTAGATAATACTTTAATGTTGGAAATACACCATTAACGATAATCTGACAGCCATGCTCTTCACGAATTTGACAAATAGCATCATCTATGGCAACACGCTCATCTTCATCTATCTCTGATGTACTCAGAATGTAGTATCTTTGCACTGGTTTATCACTAATTTTTTTATATGCATCGTGAACCATAATATGATTTATAGGAATATCAAATTTTACTTCAATAACTTCGTATATTGAATTATCATCTATATTTCTTACAACTATGTCTCCAGTTTCTCCGCTGCTTTTGTCACAACTATAATGAGAAGCAAAATTATCTAATTTTTTTCCTTCAAATCTCTTTAATTCCTTCGTTATACATTCATATATGCTATAAAGAGCCATCACGGGCAGAATAGATGCTCCTCTATTTTTATATTTTGTGTAGAAATGCTGTTTTAATAAGTTTATTATCTCTGTAATTGTAAGAATATTTTCTTTTTCTACTGGGTTCACTAGCATAATAGTTTTATCTTTTTTTAATTTTATGCTATATGACATAATTGCTTTGACATATTCTTTCGGATTAACATTATTCTCTTCAATATCATTCAATATTGTTAAAAAAGATATTTTGACTTTTTTGTTTTGTATTTTACCTGGGTAATTAAATGTATATGGAATAGATTGTTCCAAACTCCTAGTAAGCCATCCCGATTCTTTCATTGCACCTAAGAATTTTTTCTGTTTTAAGAATGGTGTAACATATTTAGTATCAAAGCTTCTTCCCCCATAACCACCTTGTATCTGCACCTGATGTCTACGTACATCTTGCTCTGGATGTAGACACTTATATAATAAACTTGACAATAAAACTGTATATACACCTTTAAACGTTTCTTCTTTTTCAACGATAATTTTTACGTGTTCAAGTTGGGTTTCTGAAAGATTAACATCTTTAAAATCTTTCAGTTCTAATGCAGTAGTATATATTTTTTCTATAAAGGCCATTTCATTCATGGTAGATTCCACTCCATCGAAAAATTGTTTTTTTACTTCTGTAGCAATAGACTTAACCATATTAACGCAAATCGCATTACCAATTCTTGCATATAAATTAGCTGATGAACCAATTTTTTTATAGTCATCTGGAAATCCCATAAATCTAAAACATTCATCTATGGTTAATTTTCGTACTATGTTACCTATTTTTATAAAATATCTCCCACTAGATTCTTGTGAAGCTAATGTAGGATGAGTTCCTTTAGCTGAATAGATTCTATTTGGTTGTTTATGTACTCTCGACAAATGTTCCGTGCCTGTTCTAACACCAGTAGTTCTTATTCGTTTATTGCGATATCCGCAAAATATTAACCCTGATTTGGGTTGACATTTTATATGTTGTTGATCCAGAAGTGTATATTCACTAGAGTTTAATATTTCAAAATCTCCGTTTGCGTCTAAAAATGACTCCATTGAATCTACTGTAGTATATTTTAATTGTTCAAAATCAAATATTTTACCTTCCCGATTACCTATAATAATAATTCTCTCTCTATTTTGTGGCACTCCAAAATTTCTAGCATTAAGCACTTTATAAGTAACCGTATACCCTAATTCTTCTAATGCAGATAACATTACAATAAGTGTACGACCTTTATCGTGTTTTTCTAAATTAAATACATTTTCCAATATGAATACTTTAGGTTGTTTTTTTTTTAATATTCTACATATATCGAAAAATAGAGTTCCTCTAGTTTCATCATAAAATCCTTTTTGTTTGCCACATATTGAAAATGCTTGGCATGGAAAACCAGCACACAACACGTCAAAATCAGGAATTATGTTAGGATCAAGCGTTGTTATATCACACTGGGGATTATCAGCAAAATTTAGTTGGTACATTTTACAAGCATGGTCATTAATTTCAGCACTAAAAACACATTCTCCACCAACACTCTCCATTCCCAATCTAAAACCACCAATGCCTGCAAATAAATCTACAAATTTTATATGATTTGCAACATCCGCAAACATATCAATATATTGCTCCAACCAATCATCTCCTTTACAATCCAATAGGTATTATAGCATATATATATTTTTTTTTCCATAAAATATATACTAAGAATCACACCTAGCAGGAAAAAACATATATCTATCGAATACAACGTACTGACGGAGAAAGTGAGTGATACAATGATAAAAGTAATATACCTAGCCCCAGAGGACACAGAGCCTAGAGTTATGCAGATAGAATCAGAAGATATAACCATCATAAACAAGCTGCTTGGCGGTGATTTTGATATCATATACACTGACAACTACGGCATTACAGGCACTCTGGCGAGGTACGATATCTACGTCAATGATGATTTCCTTCGTGGCGGCTATCTCCCCAACATAGCACTGAACATGGAAGCCGTTCTGCAGAATGACTATGACAGGGCAGGAATTGTCCTTGGGCCTCTCCTTGTGGCTGGCTATAATGATGAGGGCTGCATGACGGCGGTTGATGATGAAGATATACCAGAGGTATGTGAGATACTGAAGCGTGCCATGCTCCAGAACAAAAAACGAAAGTAAAAAAAGGCGGCTCCTTGGCGGTGCTGGCTACGTCCAGTAACGCTGATGAGCGGCCTTATTCATTGACAAAACATCATATCAGATATATAATAATTAGCAGGGGAAAGCACTATTGCTAAAAGTAGAACAACGGCTACATGGCAAACGTGGAAGATAGCCTCCATACAGTAATACTGTAATGGGGGGTATCTTTTTTATTTGGCTGTGAACCCCAGCGCACCGCCCACCACTCCGCCCTTTTTGCTTGTCCTTCCCTTCGTCTCCCAGCTTCACAAGCTCTATATTTGTTATAATATACGCTAACATATAAAGATATAGAATTTGTGAAGCCGTCCGCCTGTCCAGTCCTGCGCCCTGTCTGCAGTCTGGTGTCTTCGGCGGTGCTTTTCTCTCCCCTCGGCCATGCTGGCGGCTGCCCTGTCAAATGTGGGCGGCTCCTGTCTAAAGCCATCCGCAGCGCCCTCTTTTGACCCTGTGCGCCAGCCATCTTCCCACCCCACAGCCAAACCCAGTCACTTTACCACGAGTCGGCTCTTTAAGACGGAGAACTCATGGAGCCACCTCCGAGCGCATCCAGCCGTATCAGCCCCAGAAATGCCAGTAAAGCCGATACTCCCCCTGTCTGCTGGCTCTCGCTGACTCGCTGTTTTTTCTCCTTCATCACTTCCGATATGCCCATTACGATTATCGGCAAGCAAGGCCATAAAATACGGGGGCGGTGCCCGCCGATAATCAGCCATATCTTAAGTGATGGATCCGCGCCGACTCCCCCCCTTCCCGACCACGTTTCCCCCGTCTTATCCTCTGGGGGGGAACCCCCACCGCCAAGCCTTTTTCCCTTTTCCCACAAAAAAAAAACCTGTACTACGCACGTACAGGCAATATTATAGGGATGTTTCTCTAAGTATAACCTTGGGGAATGGTTATAATTTAAGAAAAGGACTTATCTACATTAGGCAAGTACATTATAGCCAGCCAATACATGATAATCAATGCTAAAATAAAATCATGAATACACCTTTCGCATTTGTACGGCTTATCATAGCAAATACTGACACAGCCCTTTCAATACAACAAAAAAGAAGACACTCGCCAAATCCGCTCCGCAAGTGCCTTCCCTGTATTGACTTACCTATGATTTATCAGAACCACCACCAAGGTGTAAACATAATGTCCATCCCCTTTCACTGTAGATTTTGAATGCCTTCCCTGTATAACTTATCTCCATAAAATCCAGATCATGATGTTCATCTCCCTTCGTGTTTTTCTTTTGTCTCTTATACGCAGGCGCAAGGAAAACATTACAGGAAAAATAAAAAAATTTTTGAGCCATGAAAAAAGCGTGAAATAGCGCAATCTTTTCACGCTTTTTGCGTGGCTTCGTGGGGCGGCTCGCTCCAGATAAAAGGCGGAAGCCTTATTGGTGGGGGCCGAACAGCCCCGCCTGTACCCCTTGAATTTATCTCCTGCTTATGTTATAAAATACACTAACATAAACTGCAGGACATGAAAAAAGGCAGTCCGTCATTTGGGGCGGTCTGCCGTCTTCGTCTTATGCTGCCATCATGCGCTCGTGTCGGATTTCCATCAGCAGGGCATCCATCTTCTCGGTGAAGCGGTCAAGGGAAGTCTGAACCTTCACCAGCAGATAAAAAGCCACTATGATAGGGAACCCCACGGAGGACACGGCCTGCAGTATAGCCTCGTCTGCCATGTGTTTTCACTCCTTGGTACATAGATATAGGGTAGATAGAGAAACACCCCTCACAGGCCATCTGACAGCGAATGAGGGGTATTTTATTATGTGGGCGGCGGTTACGCTATCTTGTCAACAACGGTTTCCTTGTACTGGGCACCCTTGAATGTGTCAAACTCGCCCTTGATGCCGTTGAAGGCCTTCAGGGTGATAAGGGTATTTGCCACAGCCTCGACATCAGCCTTCTTCAGGTCGGTCTTAGGACCAGCAATCGCAACATTGATACTGGTCTTGATTCTGCTGTCCTCAAGGGTAATATACAGTTTCTTAGCCATTTCCAGCCACTCCTTTCATCACTTCAAAATCTCGTCGGACACGACACGGTGTACGCCGTGGCATGGCTCCGCCATCAGGGTAACAAGGGCATCCGCCACATCGGAAAACTCGGTGTCAGTGAGTTCCGGGTTGATGCCTGAAATGCTGCGGGACTGATACTTAACCGAGCCGTCCTCATTCACTCCTGCCTTGATCTTAAGCTGCATGGAAACATGCTTTGCACCTACTATTGCCATTTTAATTCCTCCTTCATGGATAAAATCACATCATGTGTTCGTGAGCCTCACAAAACCATCATAGCAGGATAATTTTGCAGTGACAAGAAGGAATAAGGGGAAGAGCTGTCGAAATGGCATGGCGAAAAAAATTGTGACGGCGGAAACTCCCAAAGGGGCGGTAAAACAGGCATTTCCACGGATAAACACCCTGCCAGTAAAGCATGGGAAAAGATACTGAATCCATACGCCCAAGGAGCAATTAAAAAGGCTGTCACACTGGACAGACCGCCTAAACCTGTGTTTTGCGATTAGTTCGGATTAGTTCCGATAAATGAAGTCTATAAGAAGTAATGCAAAAAGAGCGTGAACGCCTGTAACATAAGGCTTCACGCACTTTTTAATAACAGAAATAACACAAAAATGCTGTAAAAGGTCAAACTGTCCCCTGACTATGGACACCCAAAACAGTTTTTGTACTTTATTTGGTGGACAGATTGCCCCAAATACACAAAATTACCCTAAATTCTTGTACACTGATACTGCACATTTGTTTTGACAAGCATTCTCAATAAAAGAAATACTCCGCCATGCAAACTGATACATTATCTGCTTGCAAGGTCTGAAAACCGCTGATACAGCGCAATTTATGAAAATCAGTGTAGCCAGTGTGGAGCCAATGCGCCGCCAATTTACGCAAACTTAGAAAAGGGCTGTGCATAGGCTCTTTCTCTATGTCTTAGGCGTGGGCGGTGACAGGCACCCACCACGCCCACAATAGTTATCTTCTGGGCGGTCTTAGCCCTCGGCGAACAGCTCCGCTACTTCATTGACGGCTTTCTTTTTCGTCACCACTGCGCCGCCAAATTCATTCGCTGCGCTATGCGCTTCGCCAATCCTGCCGTTTGTCATATTATACTTCATTTGTATAATACCAGTGCTGCCGTCTCTTTGCTTCGCCACAACTACATCCAAATCCTGTATTATACGATTAAAATTCTCCATGTCATAATAATTCTGACGATGCAGGAACATTACAACATCAGCATCCTGCTCTATGGAGCCGCTGCCGCGCAGGTCATTGAGCATAGGGCGTTTATCGTCCCTTTTCGTGAGGTCTCGGTTCAGCTGGCTTAATGCCAATACTGGCACATTCAGAGCCATGGCAAGCTCCTTCAGCTTACCAGAAACGGCGGTCATGCGCTCGGTCATACTCTCCACGCCCTTCACCGTCATCAGGTTTATATGGTCTATCACAATGAGGTCAAGCCCATTGTTTATTATGCTCTTATCCCTTGCTATTGCGCAGATATCGTCAAGCTCTCGCTCTTTCCTTATCCAGAGATTATACTCCGCCTTGCCAAAAGCATCCAAAAACTTCGCTGGGGCAGAGTCAGCAGGGTAATCCCTGCCAGAAGCAAGGAAATTCTTGACTTCTATGTAGTTGGTGCCTGACTTCAATCCTGCAATCTTGAAATATACCACGCTGTCCGCCACTTCCAGAGAAAAGAACAGTATTTTCTTTTTCTGCTCGGCTAGGTGTGTCAGAATGTTAATAGCAAATGTGGTCTTGCCCATGCTTGGGCGAGCCGCCAGTATATACAGACAGCTCTTATGGAATCCGCCCCCCAGATACTTATTCAGGCTCTTGAACTTGGTCGGCATATAGTCATTGACAAACAGCTCATCATACACACGAAGCCTCGTCTGCATGGGGTCATCATCTTCAACAGTTACGCCCAGCTTGGCAAACTCGCCATAGATACCGCTCTTGATGGCGGCGAAATCGTCCTCACGCTGGTAAAATCTCTGCTTGAAAATCTCCATGGACTTTATGCCATGCCTGCAAAGTGCCGCCTCTTTCAGCCTGTCAAGGTTAGTCTCCAGACTCTTACGGCTGAAGGAAATAACCTTCTGCATATTGTCGATGTAGAAAAGCAGGGCGTTTGGCTGTAAAATACTGGATTTGTCGAGATTGTGGGTGATGATGTACTCACCTGCGGTACTTGCATCTATATCTGTGCGCCCCTGCTTTGACATGGTGACAAGCACAGTATAGGCAAGGCGAGTATCTGCAAAATAGAAATCCTCTGGCGGTACTGTCTGCATGGCAAAGGGTATATACTCTGGGTCATGAACCAGCTGACCGATTAAAGTAAATTCAGTTTCACGTATTAGATTATACATGGAATCACTCATAAAAGGGTCATTGATAGCCATACTTTCACCCCCTTGCTATGTAGGCTTCCGCTTCCCACATGGCATCAAAGGCGGCTTCCGAATCAAGCTCTGCCTGTGTCAAAGGTCTGTTTATGTTATCACCATAGCCATTAACACCATTGCAATGGATTCTACTCTCGTTTACACGCTTCGCCTCGGCTTTTTCTTTATCCTGCGCAACCCAAAAATCAAGGGTCATCTGCCAGTTGGAGATAGCTACTCCCCTGCTGTTTCTCCAGCCAGTAGAAGCATAGTACATGTAGAACTTTCTCGCCTGTGCCTCGGTGCCGCCATGGGTGCGAGCATACTCAATTACTTTCTCTATGCTCTCAGGAACACTTGGCTTTCTAAATCCCCTAGAAGGATAAAAAGAATTGTGTGTGTGTGTCCTGCGTGTTACCTCTGGTACTATCTTCCTGGTCTCTTCTTCCCTAGGAGTATATACACACACACTTACTTTTTCTTTATTTTCTTTTACACTATTACTTATGTATGGAAGATTTTCCATAACTACTTGTGGAAGATTTTCCATATGTCGTGGAAGATTTTCCATAAGTCGCTGCGAATCTTCCATACTTGGGGCGGTCTGCGGAATGTCAGAAACAGGCTCAATCCTTGCCTCTGGCTCTTCATCAGGAGCAGACTCCGCCACAGGTGCATTTATCATCTGGAGAACCTTGGCAGTCGGACGGATGATGCGGCATCTGTGGTGCCAGCCCACAAACTCAATCATGCCATCATCAAGAAGAATCTTAATGCCCTTTGCTATGTTGCTGTGGGTGGTTCCTAAGTCCGCCGCCATGGACTCATAGGAAGCAAAACAGCCGCCATACTCCCTGTTATGTGAACGGAACAGGATAAGAGCCATCAGGAATGGCTGCTTGCTGTACTGGCGGTAAAGATTAAGGTTTATTGACAAATTTGATAACATAAAAATTACCCCTTTCAATTTCAGATAGTTATAATGTTACGCAGACACAGCACGTCCATTATCTATCACGTTGAAAAGAGTTTAAAAAATGCTTGCATTTTCTTTTTTTCTATGCTAGAATTAACTAGACATATGAAAATAATCCTTTCATCATCATGATGATTGGGCGTTGCTGAAGGGCTTACATCGACTTCTTGGCGGTTGTGGATGTGGCCCGTTTTCTTTGCGTTTTTTGTTGCTACCATTGTAGCACTAGAAAAGGCTGGTGTCAAGAAGAAAAAATATTTGACTTTTTGATGTTCACGTTAAATAATTGTTACTAACATTAAATAACATTTTATAACGGTTATCAACATTTATTTACATTTTAAAAATGTTGTTTACATTAAATAAATGTTATTTAGCGTTGATTTTTTAGATTTTTTGTGGTATAATATATATAAAAAAGGAGGCGAAAACCCTTGAAAATAATAGCTTTCTCAAACAAAAAGGGCGGTGTCGGGAAGACCTCTTCCACATTATGCACTGCGGCGTATCTTGGTATCAGAGGCAAGAAGGTATTAGCTATTGATATGGACAGTCAAAGTAATTTTACTTATGCCTCTAAAGGTGAGCCAAATGTACAAGGTGTATTCGATTTTATGAAGGGCGCACCGCTTCGTGATGTTCTCCAGAACAGTGAACATTATGACTTTATCGGAGCTGATCTCCGCCTGTCCAAAGCGGACAGCGAATTTGAGGACATTGGCAAGGAGTTCATCCTGCGCAATCGCCTAAAGACCGTAAAGAATTATGATTACATTCTTATTGACACTCCGCCATCCATGGGTATTTTGACCTTGAACGCCTTGGCAGCTTCCAATGAGGTTGTTATCTGCTGCCAGTGTGACGGCTTCTCCCTGCATGGCTTGTCCGAGATGAAGAAGAACATTAGCGGCGTAAAGGAATACTATAACTCTGATTTGAATGTTGCTGGTATTCTCATGACACGCTATAATCCTCGTACCGCTCTTACAAAGAATCTTTCAGAGATTTTTGCTAAGGCCGCCAAAACCATGAATACTAAAGTTTTTGAGAATTACATCAGGGAAAATACGTCTATCAGGGAAAGTCAGGTAATGCAGACTGATTTATTCAGCCATGCCCCACATTCCAATGGCGCACTTGACTACACCGCTTTTATTCATGAATACTTAGGGAGTGATTTATAATGGCAAAGTCCTTGTCACTGGATCAGCAGGCTATGCTCAATGATTTTAATACACCGCCGTCCACCCTGCCAGAGATTGACCCTCTGAATCCGCCAGAGGTTGACGAAAATGCACCACGTACACGGAGAAAAAAAAGCAAGTTAAATATTCATCGTGTCAGCGGATATCTCACGCCAGTACAGTACAAGATGCTTGATGAAATGGCTCGTCAGGAGAATTGCACCCTTACTGACATGATAGCTCACTGTATCGAGAATACTTGGGACACTCTGCAGAGGCAGTCTGCAAAGCTGGCTCCAAAATACTAATTTTGTATACATTCACGTCAAATAAATGTTATTAACCTTAAATAACATTTATTAACATTAAAAAAGTCCTGTGAAGCCTGTTTTTATGGGCTTTGTTGATGTGTATAATGTGTATTGTGTGTATCATGTGTATAATACACACAGTAAGTATTGTAAGTGCTTTGAAATGGTTTGGAAATGCCTATGGACTTCGGTCTATGGGCTTTTTGTTTACGCTGATTTATTTATACGCATTTCTGCCCACTGGCTGACCTTATGCCTCGTCTTTTCGCCAGTGTGGGTGTAGGTGTCCATGGTTATCTTGATGGACTCATGCCCCAT